CTGTTTAGAATACCAGGATTCCCAGCTAGGCTTTTAAAAATGCCTTGGTTTATAGATTTCTGAGGGTGTAACGGCGTTGCTCAACTATTTGTTCTGTTTTATCCCAAGACGGGAGCTTTCCGCTCCTGAGCGTGCCGTGCTGTGATGCCCTGGTCAGCCTGCACCCTACGCAATCCCCCCGAACGGGGCTGGTTTCCCTTCTGACCGAGTCGTGCTCCCTGTCCCCCCGCAGCCCAAGCACTGTCTTTCTGTTAGTCTGGGCTGGGGACTTACCGCTGCACACAAGTCTCTCCATTTTCTCTCTGTTTATTTTAATAAATTTCTTTGTGTAGCTTTGGTTCTTGAAAAGCACTTGCGGGTGGCTTTTTCATTTAAGTTCGATTTATTTTTTTTTTTTTTTTTTTTTTTTTAGGTGGATTGAATGATGGAAGGGAAATGCATTTCTCTGCAGGAAAGCAGTATTGCCTGAAGTAGACAGTATATATTTACTTGTAGCAATAGAGATGAAAAGTTGTTAAATCCCCACTCTTATTTAAAGCAATTCTTTAGGGGTGACTCAGTTCTGCAAAAAGCACAAAGAATTGAGCGGTTGCCTGAATGACCTACTGCACAGCAATGCTTGTCACTTGCTGACGTTGAAACAATGGTGTGATATAAATAAAAAAATAAGGCTGCTTTTTCGTTTTCCCTTAGGCTGGGGATCTAGCTTGGATCCTCTTTATTTGCTTTCCTTCTCAGAATGCTACAGATCTTCAAATAAACAATTTGTGAGTCCAGAAGGTCTGAGCTGAAGCCCAGGGTTCGCCTGCAAGCGAGTGGCGCTCGCTCCTCCAACGCAGGGCTGGAGCTTGCAGGCTGTGGGACCGTCTGAGGCCGTTCGCAGGTTTGAGTATTGCCATTTAGCGCGAGATGCGTGGGATGGCGCTTTCTTCTTGTCTGCTCTGTTGTGGGGTGGTTTTGCTTACCAACAAATGTACTTCAGTAACAAACCATAATGAAAAACGGCTCTAAAGACGCTTTCTGCAAGTGCAGCTTACTCTGGGTCGGGAGAAAAACAAGTTGTATTGGTAAAAGCACCTCGGGGTAGGTAGCGGCTGCGGCGGTTGTGCCTTTACTCACAGGATGAAGCGGCAGAGAGCTTTAGAGCAGGCAGGCACTTGGTGTACGCGGAGTGAGCAGGATGGGGCAACCTTTGTGAGCCAAAGAGCCTTAAGTTCGGTTTTGGCTGGTTTTGCTGTTGTTTTTTATTCCCCTGTTTACAGGAACAGGGAGTGAGCTGGGACCTGGGAAGAGTTGTGCCAGAACACCAGTTGTGAGGGTGGGTTTAAGTCCCTGCGTGGGAGACGTGGGGTTTAAGTCGTTTGTAGGTCTCTGAGCTGCGTGAGGGGTTGAGGATGTGCGCTGCAGCAAACATCATGGGTGCAATTTCCTGCGTGGTCCAGGCAGAAAAGCCTCCGGGGAGCAAGCGCTCAATTTCAGGACCAGAATTCCCAAATGGAGATGACTTTGAATTTGAAAATAGCCTTTCCGTGCCACAGGTCTGTAGCGTCTTCCCTGGCCCGAGAAGGCAGCCTGTGCGAGGTAGTGCCAAGCAATACGTGCCCTCCAAAGATGAGCTGTGCGAGGAGGTTCTATTTGTTCTGGAAATCCACGGGAGATGTGCCTATGCTTGCAGAGGGCTTCCCCCCCCCCCCCTTTTTTTTTTCACTGCTGGATTTGGAAATTGCCTTTCCTCCCTCTTCTGTTTGTGAGGACTGCAAAGGTTTTTCTCCTCAGCTCATTGTTTATGCTTCTCTCAAGCTAAATAATAAGCGGTCTGTGTGTGTGTGTATGAGTTGGGTCCTGTCCAAGCGGTGGGAGTCATTAAGGGAAAGGGCGTTTAGCATTTAGGTTTCTGTTTAGTTACACAAAGAAAACTTCAAAGTTGACAGATTTGCCCCCAATATATTCCTTCCCTCTCTCTTGCTCGTGCTGTCCCACACTTGAGTGTTTGCAGGGAGTTCGTAAGTGGCCCCTGCTATTTCCTCGGAGTACTTCACTGAGAAAAAGATGCTGCAAAGGGACTGATAGGAATCGATTTTTGTAGCTGTGGTCAACAGCTGCTGCAGAGGCAGAGGAAGAGAGTTATGGACCTCCCTTCCCAAGCAACCATCCTTCCACCTGGAGGGAGGTTGGACGTAATGTCCTTTTGTTCCTGTTGCCTTCTTCCATGTGGCAGCCCAGCGCCTCGGGTGCTGGAAGATTTCTAGCCCCAGCACCTCTGCCCTTTTCCCGACGCTGACAACCTACACAAAGTTGTCCCTGCTCAGCATCACTCAGGTCCGGCTCCAGCTGAGCTACTGCATCCCAGGGCAACAAGTATTTAGGTGGGAGCCTTGGGTGACAGGGGGACGAGGGGTGGTGTGGAGGTGTGTGGTTCCTGTTTTCGTGGCCACCTTTGAGGAGCGTGCACCCTCGGGAGACACTGCTGTCACACGGACCGGGCTGTTCTCAGAACCGGCGTGTGGTCGCAGCTACGGGCGCGTGCCCCCCATAGCTGTCATCCCACTGTTTCACCAGAGATGTTTCCTTAGGTTTTTCCTACTACGTCCTGGCTAGCAATATAGTGGTGGTTTTACTGCCATTAGGCATTCAGCGGAAACGTTATGCGCGGCCTTTGGCAGCTTTGCGTTGTCCCTGAGCACCATTAAGCTCCATTAGAGGCGTTCGTTCCTACGGCAGTAGCGGTTTTGCGGCACAGTTAAGTGCTGGCCCAGCAGACGGTGGATTTATGGAAGGGTGTCACTCTTGTGATGTCAGGAATACAAGGCTTGGAAACTCTGGTATTCCTGTTTACCATCTGTTTCCGTGGCCCTTCCCTAATAGACCTCTCCTCCTCCAGAATTCAAGGATCTTTAATCAAAACTGTTTGGCTTGTGGTGGGAGGGAGGAAATCCCAAATTGTGGAGGAGATGGTGACATTTCTTGACCTTTTCTATGTGTATGTCAGAGACAAACACACTCTAATGAGTGTGCGTGCGCTTATGTTTGTAGGTTTAGTCTTTGGGTGTATTTCCTAACGCAGGCACTTGGCGAGATGCTTGGCTACGCGCTTCTCTGCAACAATCGAGATGAACTTGCAAACCCTTTGGGGTGACAGTGCCTTAGCTAATCTGATCCACAGGCAGCTGTATACACGAACCTCGCTTACTAAATGTTTCCAGATATGCTCCTCTTGAGAACCCGCGTTGCACTTTGCTTGGAAAACTCAGCGTTGCGGTTTCGAGTGGTTTGGTTCAGAGTTGGTGCCGCAGATCTGTCCACCTATGCGGGAACTCTTACAGCATCGTCCTTTACTCTGAAGGGAGTTTCGAGTGTGCAGCCTATTCTCTTGCCCAGAAACACGCAGGAAGCTAGCTTTGTTACCATACAGTTAGTTGTGGCTCATCTTCTCCTCTTTGCTCATGAAAAATATTACAGCAGTCCCGTGCAGACATATCTGCTGGAGCATGATCTAAAACTGAGCAATATTTTCAGAACTGAGTGACTCTCAGTTTGGGGCGCTCTTTGTGCGACTTGTGAGATTACTCAAAAGAGCCTGGCATTTAGAAAGTGGATTCTCAGCGGCTTCTGAAATACCGAGTCATAAAACTGGTGCCGCATGGGAAATCATTGGTCTAGTATGCATATTTAGTACACATTAAAGCCTGGAGAAACACCAGTTCTTGCGCTTCCATCAAGAAAACTTGATCAAGACTGATAGCATCAGAAATGAGGTCAGTAGATGGTTTGATGACACTTAAAATACAAAGATGACATTAAAGCAGCGCACAATATGATGAAACCTTTTTTCCCCTTAGGGTGAGCTGTCTGTCTTTCCTTTTTCTGTTGTGTCCTGTTACACACGTACACCAACTGCGCCGTTGCTTTCCAGCAGCGTGCACAGCAGCGTTTCCTTTGCTGCTGCCGCTGCTCCCCTGGCTGCGCGCTGGTCCCGCGCAGAGAACTTTGCTTTTGACACAGCAGTTGTGCAGTTGGGGTCATATTCCTCTGCGCTCTTGGGAAAGGCGGCTGCAGCACCGCACCTCGAGCTATGACAATTAGAAGCTGCTGCTTTGCCTGAAGTTGAGGAACCAAAGCTGCCTTAGGTAGGGCTGGAGCGGATTTGTCATCTTCTGTGGACTGGGCAAAGAGGGAGATGCTGGAACATGCGCTCGCTGTGCCGTTTGCACCGACGCTTAAGAAATCCTCTCGTAGCACGAGGGCTCGTCGCTGCCGCAGCGTCTTGCGGACCAGAGCGAGCCTTTCCTTCCCAGAGAGGCTCAAAGGAAAGCCTTTCTTCTCTCCAGCTCTGAGCATCCTTTCTTCATAACAGACTTTAAATAGGAGAGACCGAAGGCCTGAGGCTTGTGCTCTTGCTGGGGCGAACGAGAGGTTTAGTGCGCTTGATATTGGAGCTTTTTCTGGTTTTTTGTTTTTCTTTTCCTGCCATGAAGCATGCTGGGAAGCCCTTAAAGAAATGCCTTAAGTGCCCTCAGGGACGCAGGTCTTTTCTTGGGTCCAGGTCATTAGCCAGCAATGACAGCTCAGAGGGTATGAGCATGGTAGGTGCTGGGTGGGAAGCAGCCGGCCAGGATCAGACCTGGAGCCAGAAAAGTCAAAATAATTTTCTCAGCCAGCGGTTTCCTCCAGAGAGGGAATCTCCTGTCTGTGCTGCAGAAAGCTTGCAGGGCTCTCGCTTTTGCTAGAGCAGAGGGAGAGGAGGACAAAGTCCTTCGGGGGAGAGACCTCTCTTGGTGGGTGTCTGAGAAGACGTCCTCCACGGTACCATCTGAACGGAGGGCTTTTCTGCGTGAAAGCTGCTATTGCGACGTGGTGGGGAGGAAGGCAGGTGTGCTGCTGGGTGGGATTGGGGCTCTGTGCGGGTCGGAAGGTGGTGTCTGCCCCTCGGGCAGCAGGGAAGGCCGTCAGGGCAGGCTCAGGCTGATTATCGTTTCACATGTCACATTTGCACTTTGCAGGTGGTTTCATCCCAACATCAGCGGAATCGAGGCAGAGAAGCTGCTCCTGACCAGGGGTGTCCATGGCAGCTTTCTGGCTCGACCCAGTAAGAGCAACCCAGGAGATTTCACTCTCTCTGTCAGGTAAGCAGGCAGCAGCGAAGGGCTGGAGGAAGGGGCTGTCTCCGACTCTCCAGCACACCCTGCTCCAGCTAATGTGCGTGCAAGGGGAGAGGTGCTGCACAGAGATGACCTCTCTGTGGGACCACTTGAAGTTAAAGGGTCGCTGAACTGTCCCCATCGCCGCAGAGGCTGTGCTAACAAGCCACACGCTACGTGCCCCCCTCCCCGGTTTGTTCATCCCTGTGGGTTGCACGTGCCCCCGTCCTGCCAGGGCCGACTCTGCTCGTGGCATGTGGTGTTTCCAGAGCCATCGTTGCCAGAGGAGGGAGGATAACGAGCCCTCTTAGGTTTCTGGGAAGAGCATGTTCAATCCCAGCAGGGATGAATCTTACTCCAGTTTCAAAGGAACTTAATGTAGCTGCCTTTGGGAGAGACTTTCTTTTCTGTGCTTGCAGGGGATCCCAGGAGCACCTCCATCAGAGGGTGAGCTAGCAGACCAGGCTCACGGTGGCTGCGTTCCCAGGCAGTGTGGTGTGCGTCACCTTTAAAGTCCTCTTGTGTTCTTTGGGACCAAGGCAATTGCAGAAAGGGAAGCTGCGGTTTTGCCCGTGGTCTTTGTGAATGTAGCCCCTTACGATGCGGTGGAGCAGATGCGCTGGGTAGAACGCTCTGAAGGTGAACTGAAGGGAAGAGGCAAAGGGTAGCGTTGATGCAAGGAGTCCCTGAGATAAAGGGAGCAGGTTGTGGGTTCAGGGCATGAACCTTCCACGAGCGCCATCCAGCTGGTGCCTTGCAGGGAAATAACTCTGCAAAGGTTTCTCCAGGCGCTTGTAACAGAGACCTCTCTGTTGTGGTGGCTTCTGTTTAATTTAAACAACCCTAATTTTGTTTAGGAAACTCCAGTGAGTTTATAAATTCTTTGACCAGCACTGTGTTTAGAGAAACTTTGTGCAAACAACAGAATGGACAGAGCGTTTCCACCTGGCAGGGCACAGACATCTAGCAGGACGTGAGCAACACCAGCGCGGTTTGAGCCTCGGTCCCTCCCCAGGTGCTGGGGGAGCTGCTGGCAGCTCAGGGCAGCGTGGCAATGCCGACTAGCTCCCGTGAGACTCTACCTTCTCCTTCTTGCCTTAACCGCTCAGATGAAACCCCTTCTCGGCATTATTTCTCCCCCCTTTGTAATTGCCACCGGACGTGAACCTGCGCTCCTCTCTGCCAAGTGCAGTCATTTCTTAGCTTGGCAAGAGAGGGGGGGTTTGCAGCTGCCTTATATTTTTTATCTTTTTTTTTTTTTTTTAATGCTTCCTTTGGTGTTGGGGAATACATCCCAGCAGTCCGACCCTTTGCCCCTCAGACGGCTCTGACCGACCGCAGCTTCTCACGCTATGGAGCAACACAGCAGAAGGGAAAAAGTCCAGCTTTTCCCGTGCAATGTTTGGGTGGGGAGTGTTTGGATCTGACTTCACTGCTTCGTTACTGACTTCAGTAATCTTGCGATCAGAAGTGGCTGTGAGTTAATGAGAGAGGCAGGAAGTGCTGTCTAATTAGAATGGAAAATAAACTCAGTCAGAGAGAGCTGTCTTGAGCAAGCTATGACAGCAAGGAAATATGTGTGAAAT